GAAATGACGTCACACCAATCAGAAACGAGGTCGTGACGTCACAGCCAATGAGGGACGACTACGCTCTTCCCTTTCAGGTTCGTAAAGCGGTCCAACAGCTCTTTCAGCTGGTCCAACAGGTTAGTGAAGCGGTCTAAGAGCTTTTTCTACTGGTCCAACAGCTTTTCCACCTAGTTCAACAGCTATGTGTACTGGTACCGGTTCTAAAATATGTTGGACCTTACACCTGTGATTGGCTGTGAGGTCACGACCTCGTTTCTGATTGGTGTGACGTCACTTCCTGGTTCAGAACATACATTGGTTATCTACTACTATGTAACGTAAGTACGTCTGGTTCACTCAAATGAAATCGTATCAATATTTTACCATCAGTGCCTAAAAACAGAGCCAAAATTCAATCCAAAACATTGGCATCAGACATATCAGATAATTCATCAGCTGTGTACTTGTGATTTGACACCCTGTATCCTACAAACGACTCGGTCGAATAAACCGTAGGCGTGTAGAAAATTAAAAGTCCTTTCTAATGATGTGTCACTCGCTCCAACGTTCAATTTAAATTTACTGAAGTGTTGGCAACCCTGCTTAGGGGGTTTACAGCAGGAGTGTAAAGTAACGTAAAGTGTGAAGTAACGGATGTCCCCCTTACAACTCAAATCGACGTGTTTTTTCGCGTTTTTTATACCCACTTCAATCCCCCCACTTACTATCGGAAAGGTGGAATGCAAATAACACATTGATTTTAAAAGCCAAAGCGTTTATTGAAAAACTTATCAAAAGTGTAAAATGAATTAAAATGCCGAAAGAGACAAATTTAGATAGAATGCATTTAAACCAAAGAAATGCTATGATTCCCTAAAACTCATCGGATAAAAGGGCAGAGCCGAAGGAAATTTCGAATCATCCTTCTGTTAAAGGGAAATCTGGAGCAAGACAGGCAAGTGTGGAAAACGCTAAACACATTTTACACATTACAAGAAATGACCAGCCGGCCCGTGTGGCGCAGTTCAGTTGAAGCTGGACTGTGGTGCTAGGGTCCCTGGTTCGAATTCGGGTTCGGGCATGGATATTTGTAAATGTATAGTGGGTTGGGTTGGTAGAGCAGCCTTGGCTGAAACCCCGCCCACTCAAAAATAAAGGCAAATAAAAAAAAAATAGAATTCAAAGCAACTCCACTTCTTTCCTATTTGTGAAAAATAACATTCCGAAGTCTCTTACATAAAGTACATGAAATACATTGTAAATTATCCGGACCTTCTCCAGTCCAGAAAGTATCTGAAGGTCCTGGATACGGTAACCTTAGATTAAAGTTATATTTTGAGATGAATGCCGCTTAACACTCGGGCATTTAACTCTGCGAGGACGAAACAGTTGAAATTATTAAAATATACACAAAGAATTGAAGTCTCTAATTAATCTAAATAGGTATAAACAATCAAATGATAATTAATAACTGGCCAATCTCAAACAACTACAACAAGAATCAGTTACGGTCAGTTTACCACCACGTGTTACGGAAATTGCCTCTCTGAATTTTGATATCAAATTTTGTTCCTGACCCGATGACCCATTTCCAAGTCGCTCGTTATCAGCAGGTGAAAAATTTGCCAAAGGTGTTGGAACGGTCAGGCAAATGGTGAGCTTAATTCAAGGCTATCAACTCCAAATTCGTACGATGACAGAATGGTAGGGAAAGCGTGTCCACGCTTAAGCGCTGGTCGATTAAAAGTCGATCTTAAACTGGTACCATAAATTAAAACCCTAAAAGAAAATCAAAGGTAACCCCTCTTCCTTGATAAGCTAAAATATACAGGGTGGCCAACTAAGAATGCGAGGTACTGTATCTGAGAATCTATCCATCGTAGAGGCTTGCGGTAAAAAAATTTATTACTAAAACGGCCACGAGCCAAACCTGGAAAATATTTTTAAGTTTCTGAAATGACCGCTAGGGGGCGTAACTGCAATCTGGAATCTAAAAAGTGATGTTTCTATGAATTCCGCTATATTATCCTAACAAAAAATGTCCGGTCTTTGAAGGAGACGATGATTTGAACAATTTTTGTTTGACAATTTTTCCTGTATCTCTAAAAATGAAGTGGTGGGGGATATTCAAACGTTTCCGTAAAGAACAACCTGTATCTTTGAAACGGCTGAGCCGATTTAAACAAACTCGGGTTAGTTCAAAAGAGCTATTCTTCAGCTACAAATATTATAGTATTTGAAGTTTTGTTAGTTTCACACATCACCGCTTGAGGGCTTTTTTCGACATTCTGACAGAAATGGCTAATTTTCTCAAAAAAATTAAATGCATTGGTTCGAATTTTTTTCATGAAAAAGTAGCTAAATGATTCCTAAACAAGCTCGCGAAAAGATATATATAAATGATGACCAGCATTTCGAGCATTTACGGAGTTTCTTTTTTTAAATAAATCTACCTTAGGGCTCCCCTGAGAATAGAAATAGAATAGAATAGGGTCACAAGTTATATAATAAAAATAATTGCGGAAAAATTTGCTTAAAAAATAAAATTTTGAGGGTATACAATTTTCTTTGGCCTAAATTTTAGGTTAGGAATAAGATATCGAGATGCGGTTTTCGCGAGCTTGTTTAGGCATCATTTAGTTACTTTTTCATGAAAAAAAAATAATAAAACCAACACATTTAATTTTTTTGAGAAAATTAACTATTTCTGTCGGAATGCCGAAAAAAGCCATCAAGCGGCGATATGTGAAACTAACAAAACTTCAAGTATTATAATATTTGTAGCCGAAGAACAACTCTTTTCAATTAACTCGAGTTTGTTAAAATCGGCTCAGTCGTTTCGAAGATACAGGGTGTTCTTTGCGGAAACCTTTGAATACCCCCCACCACTTCATTTTTAGAGATAGAAGTTTTTCTCATGGCCGTTTTAGTAATAACTTTTTTTACCGCAAGCCTCTACGATGGACAGGCTCCCAGATACAGTACGTCGCATTCTTATTTGGCCACCCTGTACATTCATCACAAACAAGAGGGCTAGTTATAGAAGAATGCAACAATCGTCGATCGTCGGAAATTACAATGTGACAAATATCGACTGAAACCTAAAAAAACATACGCTTCAAGTAGGTACATTAATTGCAACTGGCGGTACTTACGAAGAAGAGGAAAAAACGCAATTATATCCTCCTCACATAGGAGTGATAGGTGAATCCGTCCCCAATTGCCAACGGTTAATAAAATATGGATGGCGGCAATTAAAATTCCATGCTTTCTGAACTAACTCCTCTAAGGCAGTTTCCTGTCTCCGCACTAACATCTCCAAACTCTCCAATTCGCCCATAGGCCCCGTAGCAACCTCAACTTCGCTGTCCGCTGGTGGCGTATCAACAAACGGCATCGGCACATATCCAAGCTTATTATCGGAAAGGTAGAACACAAATAATATACTTATTGAATTTGAAAAGAAAGTATAATAATTGATCAAAAGTGTAAAATGAATCAAAAAGCCGAATGAGTTCCTACAAATGAAGACAGAATACATTTAAAGCCAAAAGAATGCCGTGTTTCCCTAGAACTCATCGGACAAAAGAACTGTGCCAAAGAAAATTTTTAATTCACAGAGATTAAGTAGTAAGGAAAAATCTGGAACATGAAAGGTAACTGAGGAAAACGCTAATATCACATCTACAATATACAAAGATTAACAATTCGAAAAAGTAACCCTTGGTAATTTAAATCCGACGCTAATTTAATACAAAATTGGATAAGCTCAAGAAATGCCAGTTCAAGTAGATCTAAAAGCACCTTCCAATCCCTTCACATTTGGGAAAGATAACATTTTGGAGTCTCTTGCAAAAAGTGCATAAAATGCATCGTTAATTAGTCGGAGCTCCTCCAGTCCAGAAGGTATCTAAGGTCCTGGATACGGTAACCTTAGACTAAAGTTGCATTTTGAGATGAATGCCGGCATTCACTTCGGCATATATTTCTGCAGCAGGGGCAAAAAGGGTAATGACACTCTTAAAAGGTAGAATGGAAGCCACTAATCAAGTAAGTAAATGGTCAGTTTTATATTAAACACATTGACTACGTAACAACACCCTATTCCATTTTAAAACATTTTAAGAGCGTACTTCAACAGTTTAAATATAGACATGGCCAAAATGCAACAGGCAACTAAATAACCTGTAAGACCTGTCACACAAATCTGTTATGTTGGCCGCATCTTTGATACAAAACTCGGCCATTTCCCCCGTGACCTTTTCGACATCATTAACGAATTCATCCTTGTTGAAGGTGTCATCATCGTTCAGAAATTTAAAGCCCTTCTGAAAACACCTAACGAAGCACTTTAAATTCGCCGAGACGACCCGATTCTGCAACTGGAAGAAATTGTCCACATCTTCTTGAGTTACGTCCGACAACTGAAGACACTCCGGCGTATTCTTAAGGATTCTATTTTTCCATCCGTCCAATATCTCTTGCGTGGTTTTCTGTAATTGATTCTTTACTAAAGACGACTAAATATACAATACTTGCTTTTGAGTCAAAGGCGAAGGCAACGGAACATGTCACTGACACTAGCACGAAAACTTTTAAGATCATTTCATCTGGAGCGAGTTTCTTAAAACTCCTCCTTTTATGCGCAGCTTGAAAGGCGATTAGATAATGGTATATACAGGGTCAACTACTGAAACCTAAAAAACCACTCTCCATGATCTCCTTATGCAAGTGACTCTTCATGGCGCACGGTGCAAGGAGAGCGTAATTATTTTTTGGGGGTAAGCTGGACTCCAGCCATTTTTTTGGGTTTTCCATATTTTAAGAACAGGATGTATTATAAGGAGTAAGTGCGTTAAGATGTAAACGCATCATCCATTCTTTGTTTTATAGTGGAAATGGTTTTAAAAATTGGGAGAATCTCACGGTTCCTTTTACATCAACAGTGTTTATTACTTTTATATAATTCAAACTCATGAATATTAATACCATCGCTTATTAATAATTAAAATAAGCTAACAATGACGTAATAATAGAGATTAGGACCAATGTTGATTTGTACCTGAACTATTAACCTTTTGACTCCAAGAGGCTGTGCAGGAGGCTCGTCTCTTATACTTTTATCTTTCTCTAAGGGCCTCCAGAGGTTTGTATATTGTTGTGTGAACTTCGTGCCGTACACGTTATTTTGGTGTCTCCACCTTCAATAAGGGCCACCCTGTATGTGAAATAATTTCAATTCTTTTTTTAATTTTTTTTGAAAATTGTTCAAATTAGATAAGGTGGTAGAAGTAGGTTACATCTGGTCGTTTGCGATAAGAAGTGTTATTTTCAGGCGAAAATCATTTAACGCACGTGTTTTCTCGCTGATAAGAAAATTACCGATTGATGGTCGATTTTATGCACCAGGGAATCACATACAAACCACAGCTGAACCACCCAATTAGGACGAGAATTAACGCCATTAACTTTCCTCGAGTGTTTGGGCATCGCCACTGCACTTGGTGCCGAAGAAATCCAACTAGTGGAGACCGTGCGAGGACTACAGGGCACTGCAGGCCAGAAATCTACCGGATCGATACACCTCAGACAATTGTTCTAAAGCCTCGCCGACTACGTAATTATTATCAACGCCAGCAAATGTTACTTCGGAAAGCAAGAAGTCCGTTTCTTGGGATATCAAGTCACACGCGGTGGCACACGACCAATGGAAGAAAAAGTACAAGCAATTCCCCACGAGTGAGTGAGTGTAAAATTACCTCCTTTTTGTAAGGACAAATCGGCCCTCTGGTTCGCTCAAGTTCAGCCACAATATCACAAAAAATGTTAACAAATACCGCTTCATAGCGAACGTGAACGAAAATATGTCTGGAATAAGAGCGCTAAGCAAGTGTGCATCTTCGAAATAAAAAGCTACCGAGACCGTGGTGCGGGAATTCTTAAATCAGTCTGAGTTGGACGGTCAGCGAGCACGTACCCTCTTTGGTGCGCTAAAATTATTCTTCAAGAGCGACCACGTAAAAATGTTGGTAAATTAAGACGAGGTTAGACGTGTGGGAATAAATAAATAAAACAAAAATAAATTATAACTAAAAGTAAACAGAATTACTTTCTAAACCAAATGGCGGAACGGGATAGTTTACTCGAGCGCCACCAGGAGATTGTCGATCCTTGCTACAGATCAAGGATGGTCGGTTTCGGAACGGTTTCCGAAGCCACAGGTAATCAGATGAAGAAAAAGGAAACGGGCGGTCGATCACTGGCGAATAATCTAAAACAGAATTACGGTACATGGAAACGGTTGCGATTTTCCAAAGCGGGAAAGGAAACACAATTTAACTAACAGTGTATCGTGTATCTAAAGGAAAACGAACCCCTTTTATAATCAACGCAATCAAAATTCTTAAGCAAAAGCCGAAGCGGCAAAATATCATCCTAAATCATGCTATTGCCTTATATAGAATTCCTAAAATGCGGAAAGGAAACATTGGAATTTCCTGCCAGCCGGCGTACCCGGGTAGTAACATCCAAACTACTTTTAATTACTCGATCCCGTTACCCTAAAAACTCATGTTATTTAAGCGCTCTTCCAGCAACACCAAACACGACCCATTTTACGTTTTGCTGCAACACCACAAGAGTTACTCAGTTGAAAGACCGGGCTGAAATTCCGAAATTCGGTAGTTCAGTTAACACCGATCGAGACCCGAAATTGTTGAGTCAAGCGGTAGGTTAACCTTATCAGGTTTCTCTACGTGTAATTAAAGGAGATGAAATCATGCAATATTAAGTTTCCCTCCTCTTCCAATCGGAGAGAGCTTTCTGATTCTGTCATGATATCTCTACGGGAACGGCTACAAACTGCGAATTAGTTACAGTATCTTGATTTCGTCTTCGGCGGCGGAAACGACGTTACAACCTAGTACTTCCCACCCCTAGAAAAGAATTACGTAGGTTCGGAACTATAATTTCGCGTAAGAAACCGCCCGCTTAAGTCAAGGACCCCTGGACCATCCCTCCCTAACCGCCATTTAGCGTCCTAAGAAAGTCTTACAAACGAGTCTCTAGGGAGCAATCAAATAAATTGAAGAAGTCGTAGCTAAAAAGACAAGGACACAGAAAACGAAAAAGATAGGAATTCAGATATGAAAAAAATCCACTGCAGTCAATGGTGTATACGACACCAAAAGCAATTCAGGAATCCAGAAATTGAATGATCTCGAAGACATAGGCAGTCCAAAGATCCTAGGAGGCATATAAGGGTAAGAGAGCAGGAAGTAGTTAAAAAGGAGGGGGGAAAGCAGAAGAAATCAAGGCATACAAGTAAATTTCGGGTGTCAAAGGAAATTAGGAATTGTCCATTTCTATTTTATTTCACATCCCCCTCCCCCACTCTGTCAAACTCTGCCATTAAAAACGTGAACACCTGGAAAGGAAGCCCATTTTTTCCAATTCCTTTTCTACCTTAATTCATAGTATGTATCGTCGTCGACCGTTCCCTCTTCTTGCCTGTGTTTCCTCCAACACCCTCTCCTCTTCCGAGTCTCAATGTGTTCTTTCGTTCAGTGTGATTGCATAGATTTTATGTAGTGATTCTCAGTAGATAAACAAGAACGATCCTGGACCGTTCAAGGTCGTTCGCCACCTGGCGGTGACCTTGGAAGGTAGGTCAAGATGGCGAGACATGTGGCGGTAATCTTGAAAATTAGGTCAAGGTGAAAGTCGCGTGCCACGTGGTCAGTGACCTTGGAAAGTGGGTTGCTGCAACACTGAAAGGGGAAGCTGTAGCGATCGTATTTCATTGTTGAGGCGACAAATTACATTTTCAAGGTCAATGGCTTCAATTGATGTGGTGTTAAGTCACATTTTTAAGGGCATACAAGGTAATTGGATCGTGGTGTCAAATGATGATGTTCGAGGTCAGCCCAGGTCAATGACCCTAATTGTGAGGGCAAATAACATTTTTCATGTCATCCAAAGTCAATGACCTCAGTTCAATGACTGCAGTTTTCATTGACACCATAAATTTTGAAGGTCACGCAAGGTCATTGACACCTTTTTCTGATCCGACGTCAGTGACCCATTGTTGGAACGTCAAATTACATTTTAGGTCATCGGATCCATACATTTTCAAGGCCATCCGAGGTCATTGATCCCGTTTTGTGGTGTCGAATTATATTTCCAAGGTCTGCCGAGGTCATTTTCAAAGTCATTCGAGGACATCGGCCCCTTTTTTGGGAGTCAACTTAAATTTTCAATCATCCGAGGTCATAGACCTCATACATTTTCAAGGTCTTCCAAGAACATTTCCTCATTTCTGTTGTGCCAAATTACATTTTTAAGGTCATTTGAAGTTATTGGCCCCATAGATTTTGAAGGCCATTGCGTCCATTCTTT